GAAAAATAGATTCGGACTACCTTTTAGGCTCAGGTGCAGTGACACGGCTTTAACAAGAAGAAAAGTCAGTCATTCACCACCATCTTCCTGCGCACTAAAACCACCAAAGTCCTCTTCTCCAGTGTCGGAACGAACAGGCTCAGGATGGCTACGTCATCCACTCTCAGCTTCTTTCCTTCGTTGTCACTTTCAAAACCAAAGAAATCCTCGTTGTCAGTGTCAGAGTCGAACACCCTCAGAAGGGCCGTGGCGGTGTCCTCCTCTCCATCATGCAGCAGTCCAGCCCTTCGAAATCCGTTGGTGATCGTGGATGTTTTCACACTTTTCCACGCTGTCAGATTCCACCGGTGGAGTTGAGCATAACTTGCTTTTCGCAAGTTTATCGCCGCACATCATCCACGACTCCCGCTGAACGCGTAGCGCTACTTTGAAGTTTGTTTTTCGCGCTACTTGTACGGCACTATGTTGCCTGGCGGATGGACGTGTGACCAACATACCACTCTTGAACCCCGATACTGTGTGTCTGATCACATGCCCTTCCGCCAGGCAACGTAGTGCCGCACAACACCGGAACAAACAAAACAAATCGTCTTACGATATGACAAAAATCATGGATAATCCATAGAAAAGCCGCACCTGACTAAAAGCCGCAGGGTTCAAAGCTTGTGCAAAAAGTAGCGGCTTATAGCCCGACAATTACGGGAAATTAAAAAGTAAAGTATTTCTAAGGTGAAAGCTGTGTATGTTTTCTTAAACTTTGTCACTACATGTCTGTTATCCACTGCTTATTTTTTGCCCCATCGCTGCGGAAATCAGTCAGGTCGATGGACGCTGGCAAGTTACAGTTTTATAGATATATTTATATCACATACAGATATAGATATCTGTGTTTATACGTTTAAGAATTGGTTGTAAACTTAACCAAATTATAGACTCAAGGTGATTTAGTTATCTTGAAATACAGTCATATCACTGTAATGGTTAAAAAAAAAAACAATACAAGCTTATTTTAAATTGAGGTCTGTTTAAAAATTCAGTTTATTTATTGTATACAGTTCTGAAAGATCAGACAGCATGTCTTACATCATTAGAAAAAATGCAAACGCTACTTCCCTGAGGTTGTGCATCATTGAAGTCCATGCAGTTAATGTGAGGAAACCTTTTTGTTGTTTCCTTGTTAGAGTTGCCGTGGGACCAGCCAACTGAGAGCTGTCAGGAGTATGCAGACTGGCTTCAGAAGAAAACATATCTACCTCCTTGGAAAAAAATACAACCACTGCCTCTTAGTGAGTCGCACGCTGTTGTAAGTTTAGTTACTGCATGTTTTAAATGTTGTTCTTTGGTTCATGTGTAACTTTTTTTAAATTCAGGTTTGTTATCCAAATTGCTGCTGGCCAGTCCAGATGCACGCATTGCCATCACAGACATCCAGAAAGACCGCTGGTTTACTGAAGGCAAGTCCCAGCAACAGGTTTAGTTTAGCTTCAGTGTTCACTGTACTCATAATGGTCTTTCTGTCTCTGTAGGAGTGAAGCAGCCAACAAGTTCTCTGCACTCAGGAGGGAACAACAGTCTTCGATCTGATGGGTCACTCATATCTCGGGCCAACAGGTCAGAACTTTGCGCTTTTCTAATTTTAGCTCAGTTTCTTTTTGTGTCTGATAATCTTAAGAATGTCTTTCTCTTTCTGTAGTGATGACAGGATGCAGTTTTCAAGCTCTCAGCCTGACTTTGCAGCCGGTGGCTGGGAAGCCATGTTGTTAATTAGTCAAAATGACGGTCAAGTCAGCTTCTCCCAGCCGACCAAACCTGAGCACATGTTACTGGGTAGTCAGTTACTAGCTACACCAGGAGCCAGTCAGGTAATTCACATACTCAGTGCTGGATTGGTTTCACTACGTAAATGTTTATATGTGTATTTATTCTCACACACAAAGACGCAGATTATTCTTTTTCTTTTTCTTTTTTTTTCTTTTTTTTTTTTTTTTACCTTTCACCAAAGTTTCTTTTGATTTAAAGGCATCTGAATATCAACAAAACTCTGATGCATTATTGCTGTGAGCTATTTAACATGTCCTCATTTCTTCTTTCTGTGCACAGTCGCCGTGGCAGAGGTTAGTGCGGAGAATGACGCGTTTCTTCACTACTGTCAGTGCTGATGCCTCCTTAACTGCCCTGAAAGACATCTGTGAAGGCCTGGCACTTGGCTTCAAACTCACTAGCACCAAACAGGTATATCTATACTCAAATATACAAGATTTTTACATTTCCTGATAACACAGCCTTTTCTTCTGCGTCTCATCATAACATGCTTTTATTTTTTATAACACACATTTTAGGTGACCGTGAGCACGCTTGACAAACGCAATAATAAGCTCATCTTTAAAATTCATTTGTTGGATATGAATCAGAGAGTGCTGCTGGACTTCAGACTGTCTAAGGTAGGTTTTACCATTTAAAAGATTAATTGTATATTATTTCTAACACGATTTATCCCCTGCCTTCTGCACGTTCTGACATCTTAACCACTCAAGCTTGCAGTCCATGCAGTCGTGTGAAAAATGAAGTTCAGATTCAGTAGCTACATCAGTGTCTCACATCATTGTGGAAGAATTTTGGCCCACTCTTCTTTACAGTACTGCTTCACTTTATTGAGGTTTGTTTATGCACAGTTCTCTTAAGGTCCCACTACAGCTATTCAGTCACGTTGAGGTCTGGACTTTGAGTGGAGCATTGCAAAACCTCTGTGGTAAATGCACTGCTGTGCTTGGGATCATTGTCCTGTTGCATGACCCAGTTTTGGCCAAGCTTAAGCTGTTGGCCAGATGGCCTCAGATCTGCCTCTAGAATACTTTGGTATACACAGAAACCTCAGTGACCGCAAGGTGCCCGGGTCCTGTGGCTGCAGAACAAGCCTGAATCTTTACACCGCCACCACTGTGCTTGACACATGGTCCTGTGTATTATAGTTAAACATATTTACCTTCGTCTCATCTGTCCAAAGAATTCTTCCAGAAGTCTTGTGGTGTATTTAGATGCGACTTTGAAAACCTGCCTGTTCTTTTTTCTTTTTTCTTTTTTTTACTTGTTCAGTCTTTTTCAACTAGAACTTTTTGAAATGATTGTTTAACATTTAGCATGCAAACTGAGTCCTGTAGAGTCTGAGATGTAGCTCTTGGGCTTTGGCACTTGCAGTAAGGATGTAGTTTGTGTTTTGCAGGACTGCATGGAGTCCTTTTGAAAGCTTTCTATTTCATATGACTTTACAACAAACATTGTGACTTGTGCTTTTGAACTTGGACAATGGAAGACATGAAGATCATTTTCAGTCTTTTCCCCAGACTGGTGGAAAGTTGGTTTCAGCTGTCTGTAAATAAGGATTTTTCAAACTGGCTGAACCATAAACTCACTTGAAAACCTCTACATGGATAAGCAGGGCAAATCACTCTTATTTGGCCTTACACAAAAATCCATCAATAAGCTTCAACGTGTCCAGAACTCTGCTCCCCGTATTATTACTAGGACTCCCTCTACCCACCACATCACCCCTATCCTGAAGCAGCTTCACTGACTCCCGGTTAAACTTCGCATTAATTTTAAAATACTCCTTTATACATTTAAGGCTATTCATTCTCTCTCCCCACCATACCGTTCTGGTTTGGTACAGATCTCCATCACATCCCAGTGCCTCAGATCCTCCTCTTTTTCTTTCTGTTCCATCCTTTCGTCTTATCACAATAAGGAGCAGGGCTTTTAGTCGCTCTGCCCCTCGACTTTGGAATTGCCTACCCTCTGACCTCGGAAACATCACTATTCCCTCTTTTTAAGTCAACCCTCAAAACCCGCCTGTTTAAGATAGCCTACTCTGTATAACTTCCCATGCTCTTAAACTTGTACAGTGTCCTTGGGTGATTTGAAAGGCACTTTTAAATAAAATGTATTTATTATTATTATCAGAGCACTTAGACACACTGCTTATATTGTTTGTCTGATTGGAACTTGTTAGTGTATATTACCTCTAATATTCATCCATATGTGTCTGTAAAACAATATTGTTTTTAATGATACCTGTAGGTAAACAGATGTAGGCATATAGGGCTTAGATTGTAGCCTATATTAATGTAAAATATCTGTAAAACTTACATCTATATAGATATATAGATAGAGTTATGCATGCAGTCATCCTTATAGGTCAGTTGGTTTCACTCATGTTTGTTCAAAACAGGTTTACTGAAAGACAAACTGTAGCAGAATTGATACAGAGAAACCCACTGGTCTGAGTCACCTAATGAACAGGTCTAAGAGTACAATGTCCTCAGTGTATGAGTGCACTTTCATCTAATCAAGATGGTCGTGTGTGATGTGTGTGTGTGTTTTCAGGGTGATGGTTTGGAGTTCAAGCGTCTCTTTGTGAAGATCAAACACAAGCTCGGTGACATAATCAGCACTCAAAAGATTTTGGTCCCCATCTAGTGAGCAGATCTTCACACAAATGCTCTCTACCATGGACTGTAGAGAGGCAAACCTGTGTATATATTTACTTGTTTTGTTGATGTTTTTCATGTATTCTGCTGTTGAGTGAGTATGAGTATGTCTACATTGTCGTTTGTGTTTCTGCTATTAAAGACTGATGTGTTCCGATTATGTTTAAACAGTCCAAAGTCTTGAATAAATTATTAAAAGACCAAAGTTGTGCGCAGAGTATTTTGATAAATTCACACTGTAGCTTTGCTGTTATCCATGAAAATCAAGTACACAGTACTGTTAAAGTCTGGAGTTACACCTCATTGCTTTATACTTTGTTAGGTGCTAGTTTGCTAGTCTTACCTTAAGGCTATCACGGCCTAGAATAACTGAAGATCTACACAGACATAAGTGTTATTTATTGAAACATGCAAACATAAATAGAAATATAGAGTATAAGGCAATTCTAACAAGTCAATATTTGGTATGACCACCTTTATTCTTCAACACAACCTGAACTCTCAAGGCTAAGTAGTCTTCAGGAATGGTTCTCCAGGCTTCTTGAAGGACATTCAAACCTCTTCCTTATATGTTGGCTGCTTTTTATTCGGATATCTGTCAACATGATCCCACACTGCTTCAATAATATAAAGATACAGGTCTGGGGAAGCCAATTCGTGTTCCACTGTGTGTTTTTTCTGTTTATGTAAGCTTTTATTATACTGGCAGTGTGTTTGGGATCATTGTCCTTTTGAAAAGTTGTTGCCAATGAGATGGTTTACAGATGATGTTGCATGTTGGATCAAAACAGTAGTACTTTGCTCATCATAATTTCGTCAGTTTTGAAAAGCTCCAACACCACAGGCTGAAATGCTGCTCCAACCATGACAGAGCTTCCATGGTGTTTTACAGATGGCTGTGGGCCCCACTTGTACCTCTCTCCTGACCTCCTCTGTATGTATTGATGACAATTTCAGTAAAACATGACAAATTTGGATTCGTGACTCCATAAGAACTGTTACCACTGATTTTCAGTCCAGTTCTTGTGTATTTTGGCATACCTCAGCCTCTTCTCCCAGTTTTCTTTTTTTAAGAATGGCTTTTTGACAGCCACGCTTCAGATGACACATTTCTGATCAAGTCTGATCTTTTGGTCCCGTTTCAGGTCTTTGTTGGATTTGTTCATGGACACGACTTTCAGATACTGTTCATTTGCTGTAAATAGCCTTTAGGCCTGCCACTTCTTTTGTCCTCTGTGTTTTTTTTTCACAGATTGAAATAAAGAAAAATGAACAAATAATGTTTTCATGAAGATCTGATATTAACAGGGTGCCCAAAGACATGATTTCAAACTGACTCTTTGCTGTGTTTAATGTCACATGTGACACAACAGTGAACTTTCTTATCAGTGTTAAAACCATTAATGTGAAAATGCTCAGGTACAAGGACTGGACTGAAAATGAGTGAAAAAGCAGCCAATGTCCAAAGAAAAACCCATCAGAAAGCCTGAAGATGTATTATTGTCTCCTTGGAAGCAAAATATGAAGAAATGGGAGATGGCTCAAGGGTTTTGCGTATTTCCTGCTGGATGGGTCGGATATATGACTACGAGCCTGTCGCCTTGACAGTGATGGTGACGCTGACTGGCTCATTATCGTCTCCAGAGGGAGGGGCTTGGCTTGTGGTTGTTAGGGTGGCACTCACAGGTGAAGAAGTGAGGGGTGAAGATGCCCGGGGTAAAGCCATGGCTGGACCTGCAAAACATCAAAGTTCAGCAGATAAGACAGATGTGCATTACGATTTTTAGGCCTGCTGACGGTTGAAACATCTGCTTAGAGATATTTCCATCACTTCCATGTGGGTCATCAGCAACGTCCTATATGGGTCTATATGTGTGTTTATAGGTGTATGGTCATTTAGGGTAGCTCATCTTGCCTAGGCTGGATGATCCACCAATCTCCTCTATTCCTCCCTCTGACTTGCTGACCACTTCATCCTCTGGGAAGTTGATGTTTTCCCTTGACTGGCTGTGCTGCCTGGAAGCAGGAAATGTTAAAACGCCATGTCTGTAGCAATAACTGCAAACAGGAAATCATTAATTCTTGGTTTTATAGACATATATCTAGATACTCACCTGCCAAATAACAAGTCATGTAGTCCTGGTGGAAAGAAAACGACATTAACATCACAGTGATTTTAAACAGATCAGCAGGATATTGGTGCTCACGTGCGGTGGACTCACGAGGGTTGTTGTTGCGGTTGCGGATTATGTACATGAGCAGCAGAACCGTAAGAATGGCTGCAAAGAGCATCCCACCAATAGCCGCTCCAATCACAGCAGGGTACACATTATAGCGTGGTTCAGCTGCAACACATCATAGTTACAGATTGCAAAAAAGTTCATATCTGTCAGAACACCGCAGCTACATCCAGGAGCTCGAGTGGTTCTCAACCCAGGTCAGTGTATGTCATGATTTGAAAACATCACTTTACTATTATCCTGTAAATAAATGTTGCTTAGGTTCTTCTTTAAAAGGAGCTCTGTTGAACAGAACAACGTGGATTCATTCATTCATTCATACAAGGGTTGAAAACCACTGAACCATCCTACCATGTTACAGTTCTAGTCAGATGTTTACATCTACTCATCGGGGGCATGAATCTCATGATAAATTAAGGGTTTTAATGATTTATTTGAACTGTTCTTTTTTCAGGGTGGAAGAATTGTACAGCATACATCTTTAATGACTAAAAAAACAAGAATTAGGTGCACAATTTTCTTTTTTTCTGTAATCAACAGAGGATAGAAATTAGCCTGTTTTAGCCTGTTTCATCTGCATTTTCAACCATGTAGCTGCCGATTAATGATGAAAATAAAGAATTTGGAGGTAGTCCTCCTTCTTCACTATCCCACCCACTTTATGAACTTTATGTGCCAGTGCCATCGGCAGCAACACAGCCCCACAGTGTGATGCTACCACCACCATGCTTGACGTCTGGCACAGTGCTCTTAGCTTTGAAAGTCTCACCTTTACTCCAAACATACCTCTTAGTCATTGTGGTCAAATAGTTACCTTTAGTGTGGACAGTGACTCTGGTGTTCCAGCAGTTTCTAGTTAATGGGAGGCTTGAGCCTTGTTGGTTCCTGGGTTGTTCCTGAACAACATAACCAATTTC